AAGTTCTCAAAGGGCTCCTGATCCTCCTGAGAATGGGCTCCGTGCCCAAGTCCCCCTAGTTACCCTATCTCAAGATAAGGGCTCCAGCAGCCCTCATGCTGAAGATACACATGTATCTCTGCTCCTCTCCAGAAGGCACCACCACAGCCACGCCCACTTCCGGAAGTTTCCATCCGCCAAGCCTGTTCTCCACCAGCTCCATGTACAGGGCCAGGTCAGGGCAGAAGCCCAGGGCCCAGAACCTCAGGGTGATGTCATGCTCAGAGATGGGGTGCTGGGTCACACATGCCCTTTGGGGCCTAAGCGGGAAGAATCGGACATTTTATGGTTGCTATTTCCTCTATGGTCACTGAAGCAGCCTCATGACCATCCTCAGAATGGACAGGAAACATGCTTGGAGGGAGGAAGCACAAACCCCAGAAACCAGCCTGGTCTGGGAGTCCGGGATAGTAGGTGAGAGCCCAGCGTGGGATGCAGGTCTCTAAACATTTTGTTGCTGTCTTGGGTGGAGGGTGAGGACACAGACAGGCGGGAGTGAGAGCTCCAAAAATGCTCTCTGACCAAAAAACAAGATCTCGAGAGAGAAACTCTTTGTTCCTACGATGGCTGCGGTAAAAAGGGTCCTGTGCAGGGTGATTTCAGGGGTGGTCTCCCTCTTTCTCAGGAGAAACTGGATTCCTTAACTGTCCTTCAAAACAATAGGACCCTCTGGGCCAGTCTCCATCCCAGAGCTTGAAAACTTGAGAGACAGTTCTCTTTCTAACCAGAAGGGGGCGATTTCTGACCATTCAGTTTTCCCTGTAGGGTGTGAGCCTCAGGGAGATCAAAGGCCCTGTAGCCCCTCTTACCTCTGAGCTGCAGCGCCTCCTTCCCCATCTCCAGGAGACTTGGGATCCACTCCAAGTACCTGCCCTACAGGTTGTTCATTTCGTGCTTTACCCAAACCCCTCCTCCACTATGGCAGGTGCCATAGCCTCTGGGAATCACTGCGACCCTCACTAGGGGCAAAGGTCTCTGGGGAATGGGAGCATGACCTGGCCCTGGGCAAGCATTGTTCACTGTCCTAGCTCTGGTTGAAGCAGCCATGCAGGTCCTCCAGGAGCCATTAGGGCAGCTTGAACCTCTGTGCCTATTGTCTTTGGTTCTGTCTCCTTGTCCATGTCCTCCTGCCCCACCTGCTCCGCCCTGGGCTCCAGCATCACCACACTGACCTGGAGAGTTGCTGTCAAACCTCCTGAACTGTGCGTGTCCATGTAGCCCACTGTGATGTACCGGGGCTCCTGGAGCTGGGCTGGGAGTCTTGATTTCTAAAAGCCTTAAAGAGTGGAGCCTGGGGGCAGGAAGGGTGAAAGTTGGGCTGAACCTCCTCCCTGCACTGGTTCCTGAGTCCCCGGGAGATGGGGCATGAGGGGGAGAAGTGTTCAGGAAGGGAGGGAGGCTCCAGAGCTTGAAAAGGGGCATCAGGGGAGAAAGGAGTGGGGACTCAGGGGACAGAAGAGGGCGCTAGGGTGGGGGGACAGAAAGGGACTAGGATTGAGAGGCAGCGTGGGGGACAGAGAGCCTAAGGCAACAGCCTCACCAGAGAAGCCTTTTCCCTCCTCCCTGCTCTCACCAGCCCAGGTTTGGGCCACAGCCCTGCGAGAGAAGCAGAGGAGGGGTTGGGACCCCATGACCAGCACTACTGGTTGGGGAGCTCCTGACTCCAGGCTGGTGGGTGGAGACTTTACCTGGGGGCCATGCTGATTGGCTTCCCTGGGAGCCTCCAGGCA